CTCGCCTGTAAGACCCGCCGCCAGTGACTGCTCACGGCAAATGAACTCAAGAAGAAAGGCTCCCCAGCTCCCTTCGTGCTCTGAGCTCAGTCCACAGGGGTTTGAAGATCCCTGAAACAGGTCCCGACAGAGGCACCTCCGCTGGGCTGGCAGCTACACGTCGGTCTCTATGCGCAGCCGCTCCATCCGGCGCACGTTGCACTCCACGGCCATGCGGCTGGTGATCTGCCGAGCGCAGGCCTGGGGGAACCAGCCCCTCTCCCCATCCCGGAGCCTCTCCCCCCAGCACCAGCCTAGGAGGAGAACAGAGCTGGTCACACAGCGAGGAAGGGCCGCAGCTCCTGGGGATGTGGTGCAAGGAGAGGGCTCCATCGCTCCCCTTCCCATGGAGGTGCCGGCTGGGGGCATCCAGGGAAAGCTTTGCACAGGAGGAGTTTCTGATTACTGCTGTTCTAGGGTTTATTTGTCTCACTTCAGAGGGCTCTGCTGCTGGCTGCCAGCCACAGCCTGTGCACAGGAGCCACTGGTAATGCAGCAGCCACCCGTGGCAGCGCCACCTCCATCAGCCTCCACACTCATTTGCTGGGACAAGGTGCCAGCCAACAACACGGACCCCACCAGCAGCTACAGCTTCCTGGAAGCTTTGATAACTTCCACTTCACTGGGATCACTGGAGCTTTCCCCCTCCCCAGCCGCAGCTCCCCGCTCACTGACACTTACCATCCTCTCCGCCCAGCACCAGGACGACGTCAGCCTGCTGCAGGGAGAGCTCGTCTGCCTGTTTAGCCAGGTAGGGCTGGGTTATCTCCACTTGGCTCAGATCTGCAGACACAGGGGCAGCATGGACCCGGTGAGGAGACAAGGCCAGGACTCACAGCCCCACACCCCTGCTCCAGCCCAGCCTGGGTGCCCACCCCTTCGATTCCACAGCTCCATTCCCTTCTTGTCCCTGCCCCTCTGAATAGGTAGGGAGGGGAAGCAAATCCCAAGAGCCTGCGGCAACATTCCTGGAATTTCATTGTGCCTCCAAGGAAACCTGAAGGTTTACCGTGACCGATAACTTAATGGGAGGCAATTCCTAAGGAGCAAGGCTTGGTACCCAAGTTCCCCTCCCCATCAACACACATCCTCAGCTCCTTCTCCAGCAGGAGCAAGTAAGAGCAGGGTGGAAACCTGTGCCTGCAAATGCTCAGGCTCTGGCACAACCGGTACCTCCTTTAGGAGTTGTGTCCGGCTTCTCCTTTTCTCTGTGCATCAGCGCAGCGATCCACCGGGCACGGTCACTCCTGGCACAGGGGAAATCCATCTTACAAAGAGAGCTTTAGAGACAGCATCTGCGTTGCCAGCAGTAGCTGGGAAATTCCCAGCAGGAGAGAGGCTTTCAAGGGCAGTCAGACTGGACAAGCATTTGATCAGGGCATTCAACGTTCAGGTACTTTGGAAGCAGTACACACGGCTTAAATTGGACATGGGAAGCATTATATGGGAATTATAAGGGAAATCCAAGAGACAGAAAGAAGCAGAACCAGGGGAGAAGCCCGTGCAGGTCCCCCTTTCATGCGAGGAGGAAGAGGTGCTGTGCAGAACCTCAGGAGGATTTGCAGGGCACCACAGGCACTGTGACATCCCACTCACAGCGTCTCTGCCGACAGGACGATCTCCTCCCGCCGGCCCTCGCTGTCCTTCTCCATCACCACCCGGAGCAGGAACCGTCTGGTCCGCCGCTCCCGGTCTTGCCAGGAGGAGGGGAAGGTGGGTCCGTGTTCTCCATCTTCTCCACGGTCACCTGGTCCAGCGTGGCGTAGTTCATGACAGCGTAGCTCTCCTCGCTGCGGCAAGGGTGGGAGCGGTGCCTGAGCCCCGTGGATGCTGCCGGGGGGGACCGGGCTCCCTCCCCTGCTCAGAGCCCCGTGGGTGAAGTTCAGTGAGCATCACTGAGGTGACTGCCACGGCGAGGACAGGAGCTGATGTCCAAGGTGGGATATGGCTCTGCGGGCTTGAAGCCACCCACAGACATAGGCAAGGCCAAGGGCAGCAGAGCTGGGTGCTTTCCTTCCCAATCTCAGTTTCCCAACACAGCCTAAGAAACCCTTGAGATTTCCCTGTGTGCTCCTTGGGAAATGGAGATTTTAATTCCCCCGAGTTGTTGGGAAGGGAAGGGAAGGGAAGGGAAGGG